TATCTGGTCGAGTACACGTTTGAGCATACATTAAACTCCCAACCACTGATGCATAAGGAATATTTTCCATTTCCTTTCGTTCTAATTCATTTTTCGGACATTGTAAATTACTGAACTTGTCCCCTTTCTGAATTGGAACCTTTCCTGCAGAGCATTTATCCATTCTGAATCTTTTATTTGAACAACAAACAATTGAATCTTGGCGGTCACACATCATTTTATTTGAATATGATTCCTTCCAAGTATCACAAACGTTTGTCATCCAAAACCTCTTTTATGGCCAGAAGTAACTATAGAACAATAATGCATATTATCTTTATCAACTTCATATGTACACAAATAATTTAATGATAATATGACTTTCAATAACAGAAACAAGACTTTATTGAATTCAAGATATCATATGTAATGAGCAATTATTTAAATTACAACAACGACTTATCTATAATGCCCATACGATCAACATGAGCATTAAAAGTCTTAGGCGGCAGTCCCTTAGTTAATGGATCCGCTAAGTTTAATGTATGCTCAAACGTGTACTCGACCAGATATCAGCTTTGCTGTTGGAATGTTAGGTCGGTACCAGAGTAATCCTGGAAAGAATCACTGGAAAGCTGCAAAGAAAGTTCTAAGGTACTTGCAAGGCACCAAAGATTATATGCTCACATACAGAAGATCAAATCATCTGGAAGTCATTGGTTATTCAGATTCAGATTATGCTGGATGTGTTGATACCAGAAAATCGACTTTTGGATATTTGTTTCTACTTGCCGGAGGAGCAGTATCATGGAGGAGTGGAAAGCAGTCTGTCATCGCTGCTTCCACCATGGAAGCTGAGTTTGTAGCATGTTTTGAAGCTACCGTTCACAGTTTATGGATGCGGAACTTTATCTCAGGGCTTAGGATTGTCGACACTATAGCTAGGCCGCTGAGAATTTACTGTGATAATTCCGCAGCTATCTTCTTCTCGAAAAATGATAAGTACTCGAAAGGTGCTAAGCATATGGAGATAAAATACTTATCTGTCAAAGAAGAAGTGCAGAAACAAAGAGTATCATTTGAGCATATCAGTACTGATTTTATGATAGCGGATCCATTAACTAAGGGACTGCCGCCTAAGACTTTTAATGCTCATGTTGATCGTATGGGCATTATAGATAAGTCGTTGCTGTAATTTAAATAATTGCTCATTATATATGATATCTTGAATTCAATAAAGTCTTGTTTCTGTTATTGAAAGTCATATTATCATTAAATTATTTGTGTACATATGAAGTTGATAAAGATAATATGCATTATTGTTCTATAGTTACTTCTGGCCATAAAAGAGGTTTTGGATGACAAACGTTTGTGATACTTGGAAGGAATCATATTCAAATAAAATGATGTGTGACCGCCAAGATTCAATTGTTTGTTGTTCAAATAAAAGTTATCGGTGATAGATGAATACAATATAAAATTACGCGTTTTAAAGATTGTAGATCATCAAATCATCACATGGGCCAAGTGGGAGAATGTTGGAAATATAAAATTGACCCATGGAATTTTGGGTTTTGGACTTCATATTATTTTGAGCTCATTGATGGATATGAGCTAATTAAGTTTGAATGTCCATTGGTATTCATGGTAATCCATCTCTTTCCCCTATAAATAGAGGATCTTGATTCATGGCTTTAGTTGCTCATTATGATTTAGAGCTTCATCAAATGGATGTTAAAACCGCTTTTTTGAATGGTGATCTAGAGGAACAAGTATATATGGATCAGCCTGTTGTTTCTACTTGCCGGAGGAGCAGTATCATGGAGGAGTGGAAAGCAGTCTGTCATTGCTGCTTCCACCATGGAAGCTGAGTTTGTAGCATGTTTTGAAGCTACCGTTCACAGTTTATGGATGCGGAACTTTATCTCAGGGCTTAGGATTGTCGACACTATAGCTAGGCCGCTGAGAATTTACTGTGATAATTCCGCAGCTATCTTCTTCTCGAAAAATGATAAGTACTCGAAAGGTGCTAAGCATATGGAGATAAAATACTTATCTGTCAAAGAAGAAGTGCAGAAACAAAGAGTATCATTTGAGCATATCAGTACTGATTTTATGATAGCGGATCCATTAACTAAGGGACTGCCGCCTAAGACTTTTAATGCTCATGTTGATCGTATGGGCATTATAGATAAGTCGTTGTTGTAATTTAAATAATTGCTCATTATATATGATATCTTGAATTCAATAAAGTCTTGTTTCTGTTATTGAAAGTCATATTATCATTAAATTATTTGTGTACATATGAAGTTGATAAAGATAATATGCATTATTGTTCTATAGTTACTTCTGGCCATAAAAGAGGTTTTGGATGACAAACGTTTGTGATACTTGGAAGGAATCATATTCAAATAAAATGATGTGTGACCGCCAAGATTCAATTGTTTGTTGTTCAAATAAAAGTTATCGGTGATAGATGAATACAATATAAAATTACGCGTTTTAAAGATTGTAGATCATCAAATCATCACATGGGCCAAGTGGGAGAATGTTGGAAATATAAAATTGACCCATGGAATTTTGGGTTTTGGACTTCATATTATTTTGAGCTCATTGATGGATATGAGCTAATTAAGTTTGAATGTCCATTGGTATTCATGGTAATCCATCTCTTTCCCCTATAAATAGAGGATCTTGATTCATATTTTTCATCCATCAGAAAAATTATCAAAGTAAGGGTGAAAAGAGAGAAAAACCGATTTACCGAATTATTCTTCAAAGTCATTCCGCTGCAAAATGGATTCAGGTATAATTCTTATCCGATATGTATATTAATTTCGAATTGTATGAATTATGCAAAAACCGTATCCAGTTTTTGGTGAGTTTTCATAAAGTTATCGAAAACCATCAATATAAAGTTTTTACATCTTGCTGCTGGTTTTCTTAACAATCGGTTCTCTTTCGGCTCACTGCGTTTCCATCTCTGGGCACTAATATAAAACGAAAATCCAATTGAAAGATCCCGCGTACTGTCCTTTCAGTAATGATGCTCGCGTGTTGAAACTGTTCCTGAGCTTGTTTGTATTGCAATCTCATTGTCTGTACAATATGTACACGTATACAGACAGTTTCCGGCGTGGGTAGGCCGCTGTCGATTCCCATCACTCGAGTTTCTCAATCGGTTTGCTCCCGTTTCTCCGGAGCAGCATTGTCTTCGAGACCGCACCATGCATCGAGTTTTCCCCTTAAGCATGTTTCAGGAGCTTCTCCTGCCAGGTCCCGGAGAATGACTTGTGTCAAGGCCATGGCCACTGCAAGATTCCGAGGATCCTTTGTTTTCTGACAACCTGTTCTTTTATTTAAAGTATGTTTCGAATACAAAACACATGAAATCTATATATATTAATAAAGATGTTTAAAGGATTCTGGTGAAACCACCTCATCCTCCACATCATCATCCATGTGGCAAAATTTTAAATGATTGGTGAGGACACATAGATCCACATCATCATCATCCATGTGACAAAATTTTAAATGATGTTAATTACAATCTTCATTAGATATATGACATATAATACAAAAAATAATCTCCATTAGCTAGATGACATATAATAAAGAAAATCAATAAACAGATTATTATAATTACAAAAACATTCATCTTTATTATATAGACAATCAATTCTAATCTTGGTTTTATATATTATTAAAAATCTTATTTGATTACACATAGATTTAGATTTTTTTAAATTCTGATTATAAAATAATTCTAAAAATAACAAATTTAAAATTTAATTAAAAATTATGGTTATTTTCATATTAATTACACACAATTTTTTTAATATTGATATTATTATAATAATGACGAACTTCGTTCCAAGGACATGAGCCCAGCCCGTCTTGGAGCAGCCCATGCACGCCACTTATTGAAGATTTCGGTCCATGATGTTGCTGAAGAAACACATTAGAATTATGTCATTATCCAACAGCTATATTGTGTACTTAAGAGATAAATGGGCGGATCCCTCTGCATGCCAGCTTCTTAACGTTTTTCTTTGTTCCTAATTCACAGTCATCCAATAAAAATGTGCCACGTGTCATTATTAAATTGTCTAATACCACTCAAAGAATTCGAGAAAGAAGGATTTAAAATCAAAACCTGAATGAAACAATTGGCTTTTGATTTGTATGCAAAAAAGTTAAGCGAAGAGGCCGGAAATCTATTCGGATGATCGAAAAAGCTATCCGACAATATTTTTGGTCGAATTTTCATTATATTACTCGCATCTTTAGTTGATTTTTCTCTTGTGATGTGTTTGACAGTGACTGCGAAGATGATGATGGTAGCTATCAGCTTCTATCTATGACAAAAGAGCAGTTTCTTCTCCGCAGGTGATGAGGTTCAAGACTTCATCTGCTGATATGTATGTTTTCCTTTTTCGTTTGTGATTTGGTTGAATCATCAGATTGTCGATTAGAGTTCTATATTTATTATCCGAGCTTCATCTTTTTTGGGACTCCTTTTGTGTCGATGATTGTATACACCAAATCACAGATTTTCCATCTCGATTTAGCTCAAGGGGTTTTTAGGTTTTTTGCATCTTTTTTTTTTAACGCTTTTACGATTTTCGAGTATCTTCTTCTGTCAATCTTTTTGATATTAACGCGGAAAATTTGTTTTTTTTTTTTGTATGTGTGTGTAAATTAGGATGGACGAAGGGAGGCAGCCTCTGTCTAGGAAGTTACCCATCAAGTCGAGTAGAATCAATCCTTACAACACAGTCAAGTGGTAGGAAGTTTACCCATCAAGTGGAGAGTGATATAAGAATCTGAAGAACCGTAATTCTCGATTTCTCTTGGGACTCTATTAATGGCGGTGGCGGGAGATCCGATGGTGGATTCGGCGATATTACCGTCGAATTCGTACGACACAGTCATTCTCGACGGCATTTTCAATAGGTTGCATGATGAGCATCGGTTATTCCTTAAGGTAATGAGTTTTTACATCGTTTTATGTTTTTGAGACTTTTCTGAAATTAAACGTAGACGTCTGGATTGTTCTGGAAAGGAAAAAAATTCAGGCAGCGTCTTAGCTGGTAGGGACTGGAACATTCTCGAAATATATATGTGATGAGCCGATATTGACGAATCAATCAGTAAGTGAGTCACATATGATGTTTTGAATTGCATATAAAGCTGGTAATATGCATTATGTGAAAATGACGTTCAAAGAACAACATGAAATATTTTCATTAGAATTGTTCCATGTAATTTTGGTTCACATATTTGATTTGTAAATTAAATTTTTAGTTTATGTAAATGACGATCCCTATTTTTGTTATATTTAAATTTCAATCAAATCTCAAATAATCATATGATGTTATATATATATATACCTTTTCCCTTATATAGATATATATACACATGGATAAAGCAACATCCACAAAGATAAAACCACTTAACATAAGGGAAGAATTCAACCTCAACTTTATTTATTTCTCAAAATTCTCCTAAATAGATATATTAATCGTGTATATTTTGTATCATAATTATATCCATAATGTTGTAATTAAGAAAAAAGCATCCGGTCATGACACTCGAAAGCTATTTATATTTATTGACCTTATATTCTTATTATTTTGGAATGTCTCTTATATATAACAATTTTTTAATCATTGCCTTATCAGAAAAAAAAACAAAGAAATCTGGTTGAGTTTAGTGAGATTGACCATACAGAATTGATAATAGCTTGCTTGGAGTGGTGATGGCTGTTAGATCGTATACAACAGCACGAGGCAAGGTGTCGAAGCGAAAATAAACTTCGACGCTTTTTACGTAGTCGAAACTCTACCTCTATAATTTTAGAATTTGTGTTCATGTTAGGATTTTGGGGATTGTGTTACAGGTTATTTGACAATGAAAAACTGAATAATTGAACATTAAATAATATTTAATAATATCATTTATATTGTTATATTATAACTAATTTTTTCAGAGATCATAAAAAATCTATAATAAAAAAACCTAACGACACATATAATCTTTCACATCTTAACTTATTTATACAAATAGTATAATAACTAATGATGATTTCACAATAATTTGATTTAAATATCATTTTTTTGTAATATTTATATCAACAAATTATATAAAAATATCATGAATATAAAAATAATAATAACTCGTGCATGACGCGGATATATACCTAGAAATGGTAAAATTAATAAAATATAGAGAATATTTTTTTTTAATATAATTAGTATATTTATCTTATTTGGAGTAATATGAAGAAAAAAAACTTAAAACATAATATATATTTTACTACAAAAGTAAATTAACTCCTAAATGATTATATATTCATGTTTTAGATTTTTTATTTTTATAAATAATTTAAAAAAAATTAATTAGATTCAATAAAAATTATACATAACCAATTTTACCATTTTTTTTATTTTTTAAAAATATATTTATATATTCTCATTTATATATTTTTTTGGTGTTTCAATATTTATTGAAAATCTCTCTCTAATATATTGCATGAATATATAAATTTATTTAATAAAATATATTTAAATTGTTTAATGTGAACACTATTGTTATTATAATGTAAACATAGGCTTAAAAAAACAGAAAAACATGACTATTATATTGATTAAATATATATTTCAGCGTAAAAAATATACAAAAATCATATTGATAAATCGTATTCAACACAACAAAAATAATTTTATAATATAATAATAAAATGATATCTATATTCTTTTATTTTTTCACTTCTTTGAATATATATACAATTTTTTTTATATTCGTATCAATAATTTTTTATAACAAAAGAACAAACATTTTATATTAACAATAAAAAAAATAAACCGCGCATCGCGCGGTTCTCTTCTAATATAGTATAAAAGACCGGTCAAATTTTGTTGCAAATCAAACTCGTCGTTCCAAAATAATGTAGAGTTGCTAATTGCAACGCAATATTTTCGTTGTAAAGCGTTACTAATATTTGCAACGTTTTTGTAACGCAATTTCATTGAAATTTCGATCGTCAAGCGAATAACAGCGTTTATGTCGGAATGCTAATGGTACCGGATAATGACCCAAAACGGTTCAGTATTGTTAAGGTAAAGATACAAATCACAATTTTCTATGAATACATAGACAAAAAAAATTTGATTTATTTTTCTTTTTTGGTAGGATATTCACGAGAGTGGGAACTGGCTGGCTCTATATGATGGCGTTTGTAGGGTATGGAGAGGCAACGTGTTTGAATCGTTCGGCGGAAACCGTCCGGGCATGGGGAACGGCGTGGAGAGAGGAGGAGTACAACAAGAGCGCCTTCTTCGCGTACTGCGAGTACTTGACGGTGCGGTCCGAGGGCGTGCTGGTCAATATAAGCACCCCCGCCGTGAGAACTTTCAAGGACATATATCCGGCTGTTACAACCTCAAGTACCACCAAACTTTGATCCCCGAGTTGGGCCAACTGTTTTCGTACGGCGGAAAAGGCGGAGAAAATGGAGACTGCACCGTATCTGATCCAAAAGGGTGCGAGCTAAGCCGCGTAAAAGCGGATTAAGAATCCTTGTGTTGAAAAAAGAATGTCGGAACTTTTTTCCGATTCCGTCGAGAATCTTAAGAGACAAAGATGCTGTTTCTATTTTTGTTTGTTAACTAAAAAAACAAACACATTGCTTTATATTGCTCTAATTGGATGAAATGTTTCCCTTTGGTGGGCGTAGAAGACCTTTCGAAATGGAGATAAATCCTTGACAATTTAAAATCGATCGAGCTCGATGGTTATAAAAAGAATATTTTTATCTACCCTTATGAATACAAACATATTCTGTTTACTTTTATGGAATCAGAGCGAATATAGTCAAAAGACTTCTTTTCCTAACACATACACTCACACACTATAGTATATATATATATATTAGGTATATTATATGATTGATTTAGGTTCATGGTCAAGGTGACACAAACACAAAATGGGTTTACTTTGGTTGTTGGTGATTTTCTCGCTCTCTCTCCCTTGTCTCCATGCCGTTTCTCAACCAATCGTGGTACTTTTATATGAAAGATAACGTTATTTATGATTCACACATACTTGTATTTTTTTTTTACTAAATTCAAGATAAATTCGATTGTATATTTGCAGTCTGAAGAACGCGATTTTGAATGCGTTGATATTTACAAGCAACCAGCTTTTCAGAATCCGTTATTAAAAAATCACAAAATCCAGGTATGTCATATAAACGTATCCAAGAATAAACTAATCCATCTATACGATTGGATCTAAATGTTTGTATTTTGGATTTTATTTATATCATCTTTTGGTCATATATTTATAATCCATAATATTTATACTGTAGACGGAATATCCTACTACGATGAAGAGGTTGGGTATAAATGTTAATAAAGAAAATAGGCAATCGAGTGCTTCTGGTAAATCGAAAGATCTCTGCCCCAAGGGACAAGTACCGATCCATAAATCAAAATTCGAAAACCAGAGTTACCGTGCGATGGCATCCGAATTTGTTGGTAAACAACATGTAAGTTTTTTTTTTCTACTATTTCTAGTGTTTATGATATGATCATTTTGTATATAGTTATGAATATTCAAAGACATGATAAGATCGTAATATTTTGGAGGGTGTTTCGTAGTTTGCGGTGGTCCAAACCAGAGAGTGGATAAAAGATGTTTACACCGGAGCAAGCGCGGTCATGAGCATACACGAGCCGCACGTGCCTGAAAGACTCGTGTACAGTCGGGCTTCGTTATGGTTGGAAAGTGGGCCCGCCGACCAACGCAACATTGTCCAGTTTGGTTGGGCCGTATGTCTCCTTCATTATTTCTTTTATGCATCAAGTGATTTTTTTACAAGTTTTTGTACAATCTTATATGATTTGGGTATTGATTTTGTCCATATAGTGTCATCCAGTGTTATATAACGACACTCGTCCGAGATTGACTGCGCTCTGGACTGTAAGTTGAAACGTTATTTTGTTTATTGTTAAATAAAATTTTCATAATCATCGATTATAAAAATAGAGATGTTTAATTAAGATTTGGATGGTCAGGCGGATGGTTATGAAATCACTGGGTGTTACAATTGTCCCGGCTTCATTCAAACGGATCAACATGTTTATGCCGGGATGCCACTAGAACCAGATAACGCTCCAAAACGGTTCAGTATTGTTCAGGTAACGATACAAATCACAAATCACAATTTTATACGAAAATATAGAGTTTTTTATTTTGTTTTTTTCTTTTTCGGTAGGATATTAATGACTCGGGGAACTGGCTGGCGCTATACGATGACGGTATAGTTGGCTACTGGCCAAAGGAACTGTTCACACATCTAAAGGATGGAGCCACGTTTGTAAAATACGGCGGCAGCGCGTTCGAATCGATCAACAAAACTCGTCCCGCGATGGGGAACGGTTCTTTTCCGTCCAAGATCGCAGAGGAGTACAACAAGAGCGCCTTCTTCGCACATTGCCAATACTCGAACGCGGAGTCCGAAGGGGTGCTGGTCGATATAAGCGCTCCTAAGGTGTATCCCGTCACGACCTTCCCCCTTTGTTACGAGACAGAGTATTTCCTAACTTTGATGCCTGAGTTGGGCCAAATGTTTGCGTACGGTGGAAGTGGCGGAGATTGTCGAGGCATGTGAACTTTGGTGACCGAACAGATCCGTTAATTTCACTCTCAAACCCTAATATTAAGATGCAATAAAAATTTTGGAAATGATCCAAAGTGTGCTTACTAAGTTGCGTAAAATCAGATTTCGCATTCTCGTGAATATCGTGGTCATATACACATATAAAGTGCAAAATAGTTTCATATATATATATATATATATATATATATACATGGGGAAAAATCTATAAAAAAAATTAACGGAACTAAGAGATAATTACGTATTCATACTAGACTTTTTCGACGGTCATATTCATACTAAAATTTTAAAATTAGACACAAACATATTCATCTTTTTTAGAATATTTATAAAGCCCGTTAACTTTTTTAGAAGTTACAAAGTATATGTATTTATATGGATATTTTTTTATGATTCGGATTCTTTAGACGATTCATACGAATTTGAAGAGATATATATAGTTTAACGACTTTGTATATATATCTTTCTTATTTAATATTTTAACTAGGGAAAAATTCATACAAAATTCCAAATTTGCTCAAATGTACCAAAATTATACCTCAATTTTTAATTTGATAAATAGATACCTAAATTTGATAAATTGTGCCAAATTAATGTTCGGGCGATAACGCCGTTTAATAGTCGTTAAATTTCGTTGATATGGATTCATGGAAAAAAAATTGCCACATGGACGAAATTAAATACCGGTTGATGTGATTCGGTTTAATCCACATCAAATTAATTCAAATAAACCGGATTAGAATTAAAAGAAAAAGAAAAAAAAATCTCATATCCCCAAATTAAAAACCCTAACACCCACCGATCATTTCGAAGATTTTCCAATCTCATTGATCTCCATAAGCAGAATTGTGTTTCGCTTTGCGAGAAAACATGTGCCATGTCCCCTTAATTTAATTCGGTTATTTCGATTAAGATTTTGTCCATGTATGAATCTATATCAACAAAATTTAACGACTATTAAACGGTGTTACGAATCATGCATTAATTTGGTACAATTTACCAAATTTAGGTACTTATAACAAAATAAAAATTGACATATTATTTTGATATATTTGAGTAAATTGAGGATTTTCTTATGGAAGTTTTCCTTTTCTCTAATATCCAAAAAAGTTATTTATTAGTTCTATGACTTATTTGTGGATGAGTATGAAATATAAAAGAATAATAAATAAACTCAAAGTCTCGATCAAATTTTTAGATAGAAAAATGATCAATCTATTAAACTATAAATTCTGATTGTTATCAAACTTTGGAAATAATCCATATCATAAGAATATAATTTCTGAACGATATCGGAATTGAACGGTCCGATGTGAGATATAAAAGTTTTAGCAAACCTGTTGGAAAACGAGTTTTGATTGCACAATTTTATTCATTTCAACGATCGGACATTCATTTGTTCTATGATTGACACGTAATTTTGAAGGTACCACTATATCTTATGATTCTAAATTTAATGATAGGTAGATATTGGATTTCAACATATCCAAAATAAAGATATATATATATATATATATATATATTATCGTATTTATTTTTTGGATATATTATAATTATTTTATATTGTATACGTCTCATTGTATTGAAAAACGAATGTAGATCTTTTTTCCGATTCCGTTGAGAATCTTAAGAGACAAAGATATTGTTTCTATTGTTCTAAATAGTCAAGATTTTTTTTTACTGTTTTTATGTTCCATTTTTGTTTGTTAATTAAAAAAAACAAATACATTGCTTTATATTGCTCTAATTAGATGATATGATTCCTTTTGGTGGGCCTAGAAGATTTTTCGAAATGGGAATAAATCCATTCAATACATGACAATTTAAAAATCGAAATAAATCCATTCATCACACATATATTCACACTAGTATATATGTAGGTATGTTACGATTGATTTAGGTTCATGATCAAGGTGGCACAAAAATGGGTTTATTTTTGTTGGTGATTTTCTCGCTATCTCTCCCTTGTCTCCATGCCACTTCTCAACCAATTGTGGTACATTTTTTTATGAAATATATCGTTATTTATGGTTCATATAGATTAATATTTTTTTTTTACTAAGTTTAAGATACATTCGATTGTATATTTACAGTCTGAAGAGTCTGATTTCGAATGCGTTGATATCTACAATCAACCGGCTTTTCGACATCCGTTGTTAAAAAATCACAAAATTCAGGTATGTCATATAACGTATCCAAGAAAAAACTAATCCATTTGTACGATTGGATTAAAATGTTTTTTTAAAAAAAAAAATTATATATCATCTTATCATCACGTTACAATTCATATTATTTATATTGCAGACGAAATATCATACGACGAGCATAGATGTTAATAAAGAAAATACTCAGTCGAGTTTTTTCAGTAAACTGGAAGCTCTTTGCCCCGAAGGACAAGTACCGATTCACAAATCAAATTTCGAAAATCAGAGTTACCGTACAATGTCATCCAAAATATTAGGTCACCATGTAAGATTTACTCTATAAAATATTCTAAAAATATTTATAGTAATTATGATACGATCATGCTGTATACAGTTGTGAGTATTTAAAAGATACGCCTAAAATCATAAAATGTGGGAGTGTTGGTAGTTTGCGGTGCTCGAGACCAGAGAGGATAGCAAGACGCTTTACAAAGGAGCAAGCGCGGTCATGAGCATACACGCGCCGCGCGTGCCTGAAAAATACATGTTCAGTCGAGGTTCTTTGTGGGTCGAAAGTGGGCCCACCGACGAACTCAACAGTATCCAATTTGGCTGGGCCGTACGTGTCTTTTCCCCCGTTCTATGAATTAATTGATTTTTATTGGATATTATATAATATTGCGTTGTTCGTGTATCGTCTCTGTCCATATACAGTCTCAACCGGTAATATACAAAGACGATCGTCCGAGATTGACCGCGTTCTGGACGGTGAGTCGAACCATGATTTCCTTTATTGATAAATATAATTTTCATAATCATTCATAATATATATATATATATAGATATTTAATTGAAATCGTGGATTGTCATCAGGCGGATGGTTATAAGCAGAAAGGGTGTTACAATGAAATATGCCCCGGTTTTGTTCAAACGCATAAGACCATTTACGTCGGAATGAGGTTATATTGGGATTACATTCCTGTACGGTTCAGTATCGTTCAGGTACAAACCAAACCACTAATCACAATTACATTAACACGTTTCTTTATCCATTGCAAAAAAAAAAAAAAAAAAAAAAACC